ACTGGGAATGGACTGGGAATGGACTGGGATGAACAGGAACAGCTCGGCCATGTTGTCGTACCTGCGACAGACTGGTTTGGACTGGGACGGACTGGGAGGGACTGGGATGGACTGGGTGGGACTGGGAATGGACTGGTTTGGACTGGTTTGGACTGGGATATACTGAGAATGGACTGGGAATGGATTGGGAGGGACTGGGGAGGGACTGGGATATACTGAGAATGGACTGGGAATGGACTGGTTTGGACTGGTTTGTACTGGGAGGGACTGGGATATACTGGGAGGGACTGGGAATAATCCAAACCCCAACCTCCTCCATCCCTATCCAAAAATTCCCCAAAATTCCCCAAAAATCCGCCCCAAAATTGCCCAAATTCGCCCCAAATCGCCGCACTCACTTCTCCCTTTCCCGGGCGTTCTTGTAGAGCTTCACCTCCTGCGGGGAGAGGAGGCGGAAAATTCCCAAAAATTCCCAAAATTCCCGAAATTCCCAACAATTCCTGAAATTCCCAACATTCCCCAAATTCCCAAAATTGCCAACAATTCCCGAAATTCCTCAAAATTTCCCAAAATTCCCAAAATTCCTGAAATCCCCAAAATTCCCCAAAATCCAAAAAAAAAAATCCCCAAAAATTCCCAGAATTCCACAAAATCCGCCAAAATTCCTCAAAATTCCCGAAATTCCCCAAAATTCAAAAAAAATCCCAAAATTCGCCAAAATTCCCCAAAATTCACGAAATTTCCTGAAAATTCCCAAAATTCCCCCAAATTCCAAAAAATTCCCCAAAATTTTCCAAAATTCACAGAAATTCCCAAAAATTCCCCAAATTCCCCAAAATTCCACAAATTTCCCAAAAATTCCTCAAAATTCCCAAAAATTCCCGAAATTTCCTGAAAATTCCCAAAAATCCCCGAAATTCCCAACATTTCCCAAAATTCCCCCAAAAATTCTGAAATTCCCCAAATTCCCAAAAATTCCAAAAAATTTGCAAAAATTCCCCAAAATTCCCCAAATTTCCCAAAAAATCCCCAAAATTCCTGAAAATTCCCAAAATTACAGAAATTCCCCAAAACTCCCCAAATTCCCAACAATTCCCAAAATCCCCCAAATTCCCCAAAATTCAAAAAAATTCCCCAAATTTCAAGGCTCAATCCCGGCCATTTCCGGCCACCCTCGGCCATTTCCGGCCACCCTCGTTCATTTCCGGCCACTCTCGTTCATTTCCGGCCACCCTCGTTCATTTCCGGCCACTCTCGGCCATTTCCGGCCACCCTCGTTCATTTCCGGCCACTCTCGTTCATTTCCGGCCACCCTCGTTCATTTCCGGCCACTCTCGTTCATTTCCGGCCCCTCTCGGCCATTTCCGGCCACCCTCGTTCATTTCCGGCCCCTCTCGGCCATTTCCGGCCCCTCTCGGCCATTTCCGGCCACTCTCGTTCATTTCCGGCCACCCTCGGCCATTTCCGGCCACTCTCGTTCATTTCCGGCCACCCTCGTTCATTTCCGGCCACTCTCGTTCATTTCCGGCCACCCTCGGCCATTTCCGGCCCCTCTCGGCCATTTCCGGCCACCCTCGGCCATTTCCGGCCACTCCCGCCCGTTCCCGCCCCGCGCTCACCTCGTAGAGCTCCGGTTTAGTCCCGGGCGCTGCCGTGCGAGGAAGGGAAGGGTTAAAAGGGGAAGAGACACCGGGAATTCCATCCCGGGAATTCCGGGACCATCCCGGGAATAGCGGGATCATCCCGGGAATTCCATCCCGGGAATAGCGGGATCATTCCGGGAATTCCGGGAATAGCGGGATCATCCCGGGAATTCCATCCCGGGAATAGCGGGATCATTCCGGGAATTCCGGGAATAGCGGGATCATCCCGGGAATTCCGGGAATAGCGGGATCATCCCGGCCATCCCATCCCGGGAATAGCGGGATCATCCCGGGAATTCCGGGAATAGCGGGACCATCCCGGGAATTCCATCCCGGGAATAGCGGGATCATCCCGGGAATTCCATCCCGGGAATAGCGGGATCATCCCGGCCATCCCATCCCGGGAATAGCGGGACCATCCCGGGAATTCCGGGAATCCCGGGACCATCCCGCCCATCCCATCCAGGGAATCCCGGGATGATCCCGGGACCATCCCGCCCATCCCATCCCGGGACCATCCCGCCCATCCCATCCCGGCAATCCCGGGACATCCCGGGACCATCCCGCCCATCCCATCCCGGGAATCCCGGGACCATCCCGGCACCATCCCGGCCATCCCATCCTGGGAATCCCGGGACATCCCGCCCATCCCATCCCGGGAATCCCGGGACCATCCCGGCACCATCCCGGCCATCCCATCCTGGGAATCCCGGGACCATCCCGGACTCTCACCGCCCATCCCATCCCGGGAATCCCGGCACATTCCCGGGACCATCCCGCCCATCCCATCCCGGCACATTCCCGGGACCATCCCGGCCATCCCATCCCGGGATCATCCCGGGCCCATCCCGGCTCTCACCGCCCATCCCGGCCGGGCCCGCGATGCCGTGGAACATCCCCGGCTGAGCCTGGAGGGCTCCGGGCCCCCTCCTCGATCCCGACAATCGCGATGATCCCGGGGCGCTCCCGGTGCCTCCGCGGCGCTTCCGCCTCTTTCCGTGCACACTCCCAAACGTCCCTCCCCTTCCGGCAAAACTCGGCGTTTCATTGGCTCTGCCGCTCCGCCGCTCTTGTTTTCTCCCCGCTGATTGGCTCTTGCGGCCGTCAATCAAAGCCGTTGCCGAGCGATGCCTCCATCTGTGTCCCCGCTATGGCCCAGTCTGAGGGGCCGCACTACGCTACCCACAATGCCTTTCCCCGCTGTTCCCGCCTCCTTTCAACACCCATTGGCTGAGCCTCTCAGACTCTCGTCGCCGATTGGTCTTTTCAACTGCCCGTTATCGCGGTTGCCAGGCAACGCCGCCATGCTGTTACCGCCTATGGCGGCACAGAAGGAGGCGGTGCCGCGGGAGTTGACGGCGCTCCTGTCCCCGGTGGCGAGCGAGGCCCCGCGGTTTTCAACGACGGGTCCGACACTGCCGCTACCAGCGCCTTGCGAGGCTTAATTAACCCCGTGATCTAATTACTGCTTGGCCTAATTAGAGCCGTGTGTAGAGGACGTTTTGCCGTAGAAACTTCCCTTCCCAGAACTCCTTTCCCCACGTGTCCCGCCTTTTCCGGTATCATCTCCGCATCCTATTGGTCAGTTCGTCCAACTCGGCGTGTCTGTGTCACTGATTGGCTCCTCAGCCTGTCAGTCATAAGCGTTGCCGGGCAACGCTGCGGCTGGAGGCGGTGTGGGTGCTCAAATTGAGGGATTTTAATTTAAATTAATGAATTTAGGCCCGGTTTAAGGGATTTAAACCGAAATTAATTAATTTAGACCCGGTTTAAGGGATTTAAACCGAAATTAATGAATTTCGACACGGTTGAACGGATTTAAACCCTATTTAAACGATTTTTCCCGTTTTGACAGATTTAAACTCGATTTAAAGCATTTTTTTTTTATTTAAGAGATTTAAACCCGATTTAAAGGATTTTTTCCCCTGTTTTAATGGATTTAAACCTGATTTAAAGGATTTTTTTTAACCTGATTTAAGAGATTTAAACCCGATTTAAAGGAATTTTTTTCCACCCAAAACCCCCCAAATCCTTGGATTTCCCCCAAAACCCCGCCAGGTTCCCTCCCCCACCGATGTCCCCTGTGTCCCTTTGTCACCAAGGGTGGTGGCACCGCGAAGTCCGGGGTTAATTACCCCTAATTACCCCTAATTAGCCTGGGCGGGGGGGGTGTGACCTGGGGGTGGTGGCACTTCCCGGTGCCACCTCGGCGCCGTCACGGGGCAAAGTCCTCGTCCCGTTGTCCCCAAGGGACCCCAAGGTGGGGACATTGGGGGGGACATTGGGATGGACATGGGGACACCGGGATGGACATGGGGACATTGGACACATTGGGGACATTGGGGACACCGGGATGGACATGGGGACATTGGGATGGACATGGGGACATTGGAGACATTGGGGGGACATTGGGGACATTGGGATGGACATGGGAACACTGGGAGGGACATGGGGACATTGGGGACATTGGGGGGACACTGGGGGACATTGGGGACATTGGGGACATTGGGGACACCGGGATGGACATGGGGACATTGGGATGGACATGGGGACATTGGGGACATTGGGGACACATTGGGGACATTGGG